GGGAAATTATTTTCATTATCTGTATTACAATCCTTTGCACAAGGATTTGTTGCTAGAAAGCTGCTTAGACATGTAGAGCAGCCTTTGTTAAGATCAGCCTTAACAAAGTTACATCAAGTGGGCAAAGGCTAAATTAAGACATAAGTTTGTAATAATAAAGCTACTGGGCCTCATTAAAAAGTGTCAAAGCTACAGTTTTTATGACAGGCTTCATTATATCCCTGTCACCTGACAATAGGCTATGGATTACCCTGGTATATTTGTTATAACTAATAACACAGGCCAGAAGTTTGAAGAAGACCACACTTCAATTGGGTAAAGATGTTCTACACACTTTTTAGCACAATGCCTTCCTTTTAAATGCTTGCTTCTGTTATATCATTCTAAAACTACTGTAATATTAAGCAAGATCATGTCTTTTCACATTGTTTTCCACCAGATTTATTATTTGTAGTCTTATCATTAGAGTCATCTCCCTTGTCAGGGTTTTTAGCTGCAAAGGTAGGAAACTGGATACTCATTTTTCCCTGAGGCGGTGATATGTCATCGCGTAAGAAAACCACAATAACAGATATATTGTCATTAGAACCACTTTCCTTAGCAACCTCCACAATACGATGAGCTGTTCGTGTTCTGTCACCTTTAGTTTGTTGGATATGATTGTAAACCAGTTCTGGTACATCATTTGGTTCCACCACATCCCAAACACCATCACAAGCTAGCACTATATAATCTTCAGTACCATCGAGATCTATACTACAAACATCAGCATCACTACAGATAAAGGGTTTATGAGCTCTGTCACCTATAATTAAGTTTGAATGGTATTAACAGTATGAAGAAAAAGACAATCAAGTTGAGCTAATTACCATCAAGCAGCCATCCATTCCATATTAATGCTTGAAAATTGGTGGAAAATTGAACAGAAGAAAAGAAAAAAGTCCATCAGCAATAGTTCTCTTAATGGGATGTCGAACTTTGGAATATCATCATCTGCATATTGATATTTTGTCTGGCTGAGTAGTGTTGACTACACATCAACTTTTTCCAGTGAAATGTTTAAAGCCTGTAAAAAAAAAGTCCTCAACCTTCACACAAAACTCATGATCTGAGTGCAAAAAATATGATCAATAGTATGAACCACTTGTAAATCATTTCAGTTATGATCCCATGTAAAAAAATTTGTACCTATTGCTCTGGCCACTGCTATAGCTCCATTAACCCTCCATGTACCAAACCATACCACAATACCACCAAGCTTTTCTATTCTTTCTTTCTCATCCTACAAGTTAAGAGTATCATAATATATGGTAAGGGAAGTAATCCAGTCTTTAGTGGCTTCAAACCACTTCAAAGACACAGAGCTGGCAGTTATTATTAATGGGCATGTAATGTAATTAGGCAGCTTTACATTAGTATTTCAATTTAATCTGGTCTTACCAAATAGGTGCTAATACTAATAGTGTGTTCAGGCGACTAAAGTTAAGGCAGCTTAACTATCAACAGTTCTTCGAGCCTGGTTTACTGTTGTTTGGTGCGCATTCGCCATTTACCATACCATTAAGCACACCCAGACATGACATATCTGGCTGAATGTTAGCCAGTAGCGTTCAGATGGCAAAACTAAGCTGGCTTAACTTTCCAAGTCAGGTTTGAAGCCACCTGCAAGTTAAGGCAGCTTAAGTTTGACTGGTCGCGTTCAGAAAACCTGGCTTGAAGAACAGTTGATAGTTAGCTGTCTTAACTTTTGTTGTCTTAACGCACCATTAGTTGAAGCACTAGGTCGCAGAGTTTGATACAGACTTTGAGAACCACCCAATAGCACAAAGAATATGTTAATGGCACTGTTAATGCAGATATGTAAAGAAATAATAGATATTTTAATATACTCTAACTCACAGGTTTTTCTGGTTTATGTGGTTCTGTTTTAGTGACAGT